TTCTGTAATCAGCGGTAAATCTCCATCACGTGCGTGCTTTCACATTGAGCAGCATTAACTACACAGAGCCGTTGTTCACTGACGAGCTGCGCCAAACCACGTTCATATTCGCACGATTTTTTGCGCAGCTCGTCAGTGAACAACGGCTCTGTGTAGTTAATGCTGCTCAATGTGAAAGCACGCACGTGATGGAGATTTACCGCTGATTACAGAACAGCTTTACTGATAAGATGCGCATTAAATATCGCATGCAATTTATCGTGCAGCCCTACTTGTAAGTTATCTGAAATCTTATGTGTAAAGATACAAGCTAGGTAATATCTAATTAAATTTGCAAACATTTCCAGAAAATAAAACTAAATATTGGATAAAGCCAGGTTCAAAATTCTTTGATTTTGTTGGTCAAAAAAGGTTTTTATAGAAGGGATTTTGGATTTCTTTTTATCACTCCATAAATCCTTTTTTTTTTATAAATGTTTTTAGGAATAAAATGTCATGTAAATCAGTGTGAATAATATATGAACAAACCCTCAGTAAAAACCTTCAGAATATAGAGAGGAATAAAACTAAGTTTTGGTGTATGTGAGTGATGCTGAAATAGATAAACTGCAATAAAATATACACTTAAATGTGTATTTTAATATGTAAGGTCATGAAGATTTGCCTAAAGGGAGCGATCATACCTCAGGTAGTGTATTGCAGTGGGCAGCCATTTTTATGCTGCGGCGCCCGGGGAGCAGTTGGGGGTTCGGTGCCTTGCTGTACATTCACTCCCCCCACCTACAATCCCTGCCGGTACGAGACTCAAACCCACAACCTTTGGGTTATGAGTCCGACTCTCTAACCATTAGGCCACGACTTCCCCCCCTTAAACCCAAAACATCAACATAACTAATGTAGACGTGTCCAGTCACACTGAAGACGGTTATGAGTCTGACTCTCTAACCATTAGGCCACGACTTCCCCCCCTTAAACCCAAAACATCAACGTAACTAATGTAGAGTACTGAAGACCATTACTATCAGGACCTTACAATATCTTACATATCTACAAATACAAGCTCAATTCAGCATTCAATTCAGAAATAAAATGATCTATATGACTTGAGGAACATATTGAGATTACAGAAGACTATTATATATATATATATATATATATATATATAATATGTATATATGTGTATATATGTATATATGTGTTTGTCTGTGTGTGCGCAAAAAATTGCAAAATAGGCTTTGTTGCAAACAATTGCGAAATGCATTATTTAGCATGCAAATGAAAATGCATTTTGTTGCAAGCAATTGCGGAATGCATTTTGTTGCACGCAATTACGAAATGCGTTTTGGTGCATGCATGTACCAAAACGCATTTTGTTATTTAATTTACCATAATGGATTTCATAATTGCATGCAGCAAAACGCAATTTGTAATTTCATGCACCAAAACTAATTTTGTAATTTCATGCAATTTCATAATTGCAAGTATGAAATGCGTTTTTTGCATGCAATTATGAAATACCTTTTCTTGCATGCAATTGTAAATTGCAAAATGCATTATGTTGCATGCTTTGTGAAATGCATTTTTTTTTGCATGCACCGTTAACTAGATCTGACCTGTGCAGATAACTTGGCTTGCCATTTTTCAATTGATATTCCAAAAGAAAAATAATTTGTCCAGAAGCGGAGACATCCGACTTAAGATTATAACAAGCAGCAAACAGAAGCAGAAAACCAATGTGCCATCTGTTGTCAAAAATCAGTTTTTCTGTTGTTGATAATTGGTTTGCACGTTAATCAAATGAGGCTGTACTGACCCAAGAAGACTGAACAATGACATATTGACTAAAGTTTGAAAACAAGAGTCAATCGAATGTGATTTATGTGTGACCTCAGGCACACTGTGCTCTTCAAACTCTTTCATTCCAAACACAATGAGCATGAGTTCAATAGATTAAACACATGCTCAGTGGAACCAGCCTGATGTGGATTCAGCAAGGCGTTGGCTCAGTCCTGAAACCTAGTGTATTATAGAAACACACATGCAGCCATATAAAACACACACACACACCCCCTCAGTAGGGTCTCTGCGCGACATCTGTATCTGTGCTGGCAGTGAAGCTGTGGAAAGGTTATCTGTGCTGTGAAACGCCCTCAGAGGTCGATGTTACACAGGGACCAAACGGGGTCAGAGCCCCCCCGCGCCGGTCTGAGCCGGGTCTAGAACAACCTCCCATGAGCCCTGCGGCTGACAAACCCTGAAAATCACACACTAGATTTCTACATTCACTGAAAATGACGTGTTCACCTGAGCAAAAGACAAAACCATGATGCCGGGCTGCAGTGGCTGGTTGCCATGGTGTGCTATGCGGTTGCTAAGGGGTTCTTAGTGACTTTTTGCATGTTGATATCAGTGTTATTTTAAGCTCATAAATATACTAT